AAAAAAAAAACGTTTCCATAAGGGTGAGAGTGTTGCTGAGTATAGCAGAGACCCATTTTAACATTGGGGGTATACCTTTGAATTAGTTCAGTCAATTGAAAGTTCAAACAGTGTTACTGAGAACTGCTAATACTAAACATAATAGGGACTTGATATTTCTTGAAATGATCTGTCAGTGGTAGTTGCACTGCTTTTTTGAGGGAGGCATTTCAAAAGGGAGATTAATTTTTATTGGACAGTTGCTATGTTCAGGCATCATTAGAAATGTCTGCACCTAGCCAGTGTGGTGGCACACACCTGTAATCCCAATGATGAGGCTGAGGCAGGAGGATCATTCAAAGCCAGCCTTAGCAAAAGTGAGGCGCTAAGCAACTCAGTGAGACCCTGTCTCTGAATAAAATACAAAATAGGGCTGGGGATGTGGCTCAGTGTTCGAGTGCCCCTGAGTTTAATCCCAGTACCAGTCCGCCCGCCCCCCCCCCAGAAGAAAAAGAAATGTCTTCATCTGCCATCTAACCTCTCAAAACACTAAGAGATAATGTGCTCTCATTTTATTAATAAAATTGAAGCCCCAAAGTAAATGATAATATTATAATGAATTTTATAAATTTGCCCAGAGAGTCACTAACGTTTTGGAGCTTGTAGATAGCTAAAAACTTATTTATTTCTATTAATTTAACAAATGAAAACAGTGACAGGTTAAGTGATTCAGCCATTACATTGCTAGATAATAATTCTAAAACAAATATACTGAACTTAAAATATATGCAAAGTGTAAAAACTCAAAAAAGTCTGGAATCCTAAGGTTGCTAGACTATCCGGTTATTAACAAATGATACTGTCCACAGTTGGGGCAAACAGATTCCTTAGACAGACTTTTAAATGTTTATCTCAGATCTCCCAAAATGAGAAAAACGTTTAGAAACCACACTCCTTTATTTGCATGATCCAATGTAAGATACAGTATATGTACTTTCCTATCATCAGTTAGGACAAGGTTTGCCACATAATTCACATTTTCTATAAATTATCAGAATGCCTTTGCTCTCCTATTTCTAAACCAGGAACTTGTCATCCTTGAGAAGACTGACAGAGTTCTACATTGGTGCTAAAAAGACCAAGGGAGCTGGAGCCAGTTTCTTACACCCATGCAAACATCCCAGTTCTTTCACAACATCCGATAAAAATGCTTAAGGCCTTTAATATACAGCTTCATCACCAGGAAGAATTGCTCTGCTTCTTGTTACTACACGACCAACGCTCGTAAAGTGTTTTCATCGGGATCCCTGCAAAGTATCGGTTTCCTTTTACCAATTACTTTGGTAGTTGTTGAGTCTCAGTGGCAAGCTCTGCTCCCTTTGAGATGTCCCCAGTGTGACCTCAGAACTGGCCAAAGGCCCAGAGAAAAGGTCTAGAGGCTTTCATATAGTAGCCTGAGTTCTCAGGTTGCCCAAAACTCGATGTATAGGAAGAGGAGATGTCTCTGCCTCAGTGTTTCCCAAATTTGGCTGTTGATCAGTAATTGGAGAGCTTTTAAGAGGTACAGGTTCTGGGCTGGGGAGGTGGCTCAAGCGGTAGCGTGCTCGCCTGGCATGCGTGCGGCCTGGGTTCGATCCTCAGCACCACATACCAACAAAGATGTCTGCCGATAACTAAAAAATATTGAAATTCTCTCTCTCTCTAAAAAAAAAAGTATTCTTGATGAATAATACATACACACATTTAAAAAAAAAGAGGTACAGGTTCTAAGGCCACACCCTAAAGGTTATACATAATTTCTAATTTACTAAATATCTAATGGGCACTTACAGCAGACTAGACCCTTTTCCTCTGCCACGATATTCTGCATTACCTTGAGCCCCAAGAATTTAGAGCCAGCTGTCTATGGACTGAGACCTCTAAAATTGTGAGCCCCCAAATAAACTTTTTCTCCTCTAATTGTTCTTGTCAGGTGTTTTGGCCACAGCAGTGAAAAAGCTTACAAAAACAGGCCGAGAAGCTCTTGCCTGAGTTCATGCAGAGCCAGGATTCCAACCCAGGTGTCTGGCTCTAAAACACACATGCCTAACATTTTCTGCTTCTGGTTCAGTTGAAAATGGAACAGACAGTATGCTTTCTCCTCATCCACCACCAATTTTGGTATAAAGCATATGGCACATAGCAATAAAGCTGACCCCCCCACACACACACACACAAAGGGCACATGCCAAGTATCAGGATTTAGAGATGTTGGGGACAGGGGATGGGTGAGACTAAGGAGTAGCACAGGGAGGTCTCTGTGGTGCTGGAAAAGTTTGATATTTTCATCGTGCATGGTTACACAAATCTTCCCATAATAAAATGACATCATACAGGACTGGGCTTGTGGCTCAGTGGTTGAGCACTTGCTCAGCATATGTGAGGCACTGGATTCAATTCTCAGCACCACATGTAAATAAATGAATAAAATAAAGGTCAACTAGCATCTTAAATTTTTTTTAAAAAATGGCATCACACATTTTTATACCAATGTCAGTTGCCTTGTTTTGATTTTACACTAGAGTTGTGTGCATTGTGAGGGAAATTGGCTAGGGGGTACACGGGACTGCACTGTACTACTTTTGTAATTTCCTGCAAATCCATAATTATTTAAAAATAAAACAAGGACTGGGGTTGTGGCTCAGTGGGAGAGTGCTCGCCTTGCACATGCAAGATCGTGGGTTCGATCCTCAGCACCACATAAAAATAAATAAGTGAAATAAAGGTATTGTATCCAATTACAGCTAAAATATAAATACATAAAAATAAAACATATGCCCATCTTTAGCAACCCCAAAATCAATTAAAGACCTGTCTTCTTTAAGATTGGCTTAAATTGCTGGACGTGATGACCGACACCTATAACCCCAGACTCAGGAGGCTGAAGCAGGAGGATCTCAAGTTTGGGGCCAGACTCAACAATTTATTGAGACCCTCAGTGACTTAGTGAGACCCTGTCTCAAAATAAAAAACAAAAATGCCTGGGGATGTAGCTCAATGGTAAAGTGCCCCTGGGTTCAATCCCCAGTACCAAAGGGAAAAAAAAAGAAAAAGATTAATTTAAAGAAATATCAAATATCATTCTTGAAAGATAAATCACCTTCTGTTTAGGACAAGCAGTGGAGAAAGGCTCTGGGCAGAGCAGGGACACAAGGGTAGTTCGGGTTAACAGGAGCTGAGCAAGATGACCAATAACAAAGTCAAGTCCTTTGTTACCAAAGGAGTCAAAACCAGATACTTCTGTCTTGCTGTGATTCCCAGATGACTACTGCCCCACTGTCCAAGAAAGAACCACTAGGGAAAGAAGTAAAAAACACAGAATCCCTATCCCACACTTAGAGATCCTCACCTAGAGACTGTGACTCAGTAGGTCAAGGACAGTCTGTATTTAAAAAGCTTCTTAGGCTGGACTAGGGATATAGCTAAGTTGGTAGAGTGCTTGCCTTACATGCACAAGGCCCTAGGTTCAATCCCCAGTGCCCCTCACACACCAAAAAAAGATTGTTAGGTGACTTGGGTTTGAGAATGTTAGATTAAGGAGCAGTTGATAAAGTGGCTCTCCAACTAACATCATGTGGGTCAAACACCAAACCCTTGATTTTCATATGGTTGGATGGCTCAAAGAGCCATGAGTTACACTGACATCATATGAGAACATGCAAAGTTCATAAGGCCTTGCTATTTAGAAATAATGAAGTGTTACACTGAATTGTTTTTTTTTTATTTTTATATTACATCATCCCTAATTGGTTATTTACCAAGCCTTTTTTTTTTTTTTTTGAACTGGGGATAGAACTCAGGGGCACTAAACCACTGAGCCACATCCCCAGCCCTATTTTGTATTTTATTAGAGACATCGAGTTGCTCAGCACCTCACCATTGCTGTGGCTGGCTTTGAATTCAGGATCCTCCTGCCTCAGCCTCCCGAGCTGCTGGGTTTACAGGCATGCGCCACGGCACCCAGTCTGGTTATTTATCAAGTTTTTCATTGTAGAAATGTTCATATAAATCACAACATAATTCTATTACAAATGTTTTAGGGTTCAAAGTCCATTAGGTACATAACCAAATTAAGAATGTCTTTGGTTACAAGTAACAACATAACTGTCAATAACATAGAGAAACCAGGGGTCTATTTGTTTCATCTAGTAAGAAGTTCAGAGGTAGATAGGTAGTTACTGATATTGGTCCCATAGCTCAGAAGGTTGGGGCTGACATCTCAGCAACTCTCTTGGTCTTTGCTTTGTGGCCACAAGACAACAGCTCCAGCTCCATCCTGTTTGCGGTCAAGACTAGATGAAGGGGACTGGACCCCTGGCATTCTGCTCCTGCCTCCACAGCCAGAATGCTATCTCATGGCCACTTCTGACAGCAAAGGAGGCTAAGAAACTATTTCTCTTTTACAGTCTACAGTAGAGGTAAGAAAGGGAAAAATGGAGGGGATAGGGTGTTAAATGAGCCAACTTATTGTGTCTGCCACAACTTTTAAACTAAGTGTTATCAAGCACTGTTTAATTAAGCCTAGAAACAGCTGTTTAGATGCAAAGACATAAATCATCATAGAAAATAATGATATGGAAATCAGACAAAAGCATCTCCACTGTCAGAAATATTACATATATATATTGGTCTTTCATTCTCTGTTGGAACAGATTCTAGTTGTTGAAGAACTTCTGTTCCTTCAATCAATTGCCTATGTAGGAGGAAAAAAAAATGTCGTCAGTTATAAATTTCCACATTTAGCTTACATTGCCAAATGTACCCAACAATAGCTAAGGCTATTTCCTACAAATTAAATTCACTTCAGTCATAAATATCTTAAGTGGCTTATCTTAAATATCTTAAGTATTTAAGATGTGTCCACCTTGCCACATCTACAGCCAGCACCACCTCCCAGGCTGCAGTCCCCCGCTGTATATAGGCTGCCCTGCTCTAGAGGCTCCTCCTTGCCTTCCCTGCATCTGCTCTGGTACCTGTCCCATCCCTTTTCACTGCAGTCAAAGGGATCTTTCATAAATACAAGTCTGATGTCATCTTCCTGCTTAAAACACTTCAGTAATTTCCCATTATCATATGATATAGACAAAAGTTCCCACTATTTCCTACCAGAGGCTATGTGGCCTGCCACCCACTGGCCCTCAAGGATGTCTTGCTGAAGTCTCCCTCTTGCTCTCTGCTTCAACCAAATTGGCTTCCACTACTGCAAGAGCCCCATGTTTCCTTCCTGCTACAACTGTCCTCCTCACCCCCTTACCTGGTCATCTCCTGGCCTTCTTTCAGATCAGCTCAGACCTCACTTCCTTGGGGAAGTTTCCCAGGTCTCTATGAAATTCCCCCTCACCTTTTGAGGAGTTCCCAGGGTGAAATATTACATTTATTGACTTGTATCCTGTTTGGTTAACTTCCGATTCTCCCACAAGGGCAAGGATCCCACTTTCACTCAGTGCTCAGTGCCTAGCACAAAGCCTGGCACATTCTAGACTCCTAACCAACATCAAGTGCATGAATAAAAGCTTAAAGTCATGCTGGTTTACATCTCTTATAGACACTTGCCAGCTGTGAGCTAGAACTCCATGAGGAGCAGACCTAGACTTTTAATGTTTCTTTCAATTAAAACAGAGCAATATGAAGCAGAGAGAAAGGCCTAGACATAGAACCAGTGCCTTCTAATAGTATTTGGGTTGGAACAGTGGCTGAGGGAAAGGGAGCAATTTCCATTTCATGATCCTTTTCTGGGATGGGGTCAGTGTCAATACCAACCATACTCCTCTCTTAGTCTGCCTCTAGGCTCTGTTTTGCCATCCCAATCAGAAACTGGAACAGAGTCCATGCTAGCGTTTGAATGCCCCTTTCAAAGCTCATGCTGGAATTTCATTGCCATTGTGATGATATTAAGAGGTGGAATCTTTAAGAGCCGATTAGGTCACCAGGGCTCTGCCTTCATGAGTGAACAGGAATGGGTTGTTAGCTCTGGAGTAAGCTCCTGATAAAAGGATGAATTCTACCCCCTTTCTGTCCCCAGCTTGTTCTTGTTTCTCTCATGCTTTATAAGCATTTCCACGGGATGCCCGCCACCATATTACGACATTGTGTGAAGGCCCTCAGCTGATGCTGATGCCATTCTCTTGGACTTCCCAGCCTCCAAACAAACAAACAAACAAAAAATCTGTTATTTATAAACTATCCAGTCTTTGGTGTACTATTAAAGTAACAGAAAATTGACCTAGACACTGACAACACAAGGTATAGTCTGAAATTAAGAGCAGAGGACAAATGGACAGATTCACCTGTTCAAAGAGAGCATGAAGTGTATTCTCCATGTCAATTTTTCACAATTATTGAGAACTTGCTATGTGTAAGAGTAGAATAAGAGTGAGACGTGTTCTCTGCTTTAAGTTGTTCACAGTGTGCCAGAGAGCACAAAAAAGCCATCTGATTTTGTTAATTAGGGGAGTTTCTGACCTAACCCTTGAGTAGAATTTTGGAAGATGAAAGGGGGGGACGAAACGGAATAAGATGAGCAAAGCTTAGAGTCTGTCCCAGGATGATGGTATTATGGTCTGGCTATAGATCACCTGCCAATACACATCTTCAGCCCTGACCTCATTTGAATATCTACCTCTGTGATGTTGCCAACTGGTTTTCATGTAGGAATCTTGATCTGAAACACAACTTGTCCAGCCTGAATTCCTGATCTTCTCTCCCAAATCCTTCTCCTTCATATACTCTATCTTAGTGAATGGTACTAACTGTTCATGGTTTTGTTTTGTTTTCTTTTTTTAAATATTTTTATTAGCTGTTGATGAACTTTTATTTATTTGTTTATTGTTTTTTATCTTTTTTTATTGGTTGTTCAAAACATTACAAAGCTTTTGACATATCATATTATTTATTTATTTGTATGTGGTGCTGAGAATTGAACCCAGTGCCTCACACATGCTAGGCAAGTGTTCTACCACTGACTGAGCCACAATCCCAGCCCCCCCCCATCCATCATTTGCAAATCCTAGGATTGCTATAGACCTGCACTGTCCAGTATTAGACTCTAGTCTCATGTGACTATTTATACTTATTTAGAATCAAGCAAAATATGGTTCCTTACTTGCGTGAGCCAAACTTCAAGTACTCAATGACCATGTGTGCCTGGTGGCTAACTCCTGGGAAGTATAGATTATAAACTATTTTCATCAACACAGAAAGTTCTATTGGTCAGCACCGATCTGGATTCCTGCCAGGCTCTCCCCCTCAACATCTAACAGTCATCCAGACCTATGAATCTCAGTATTGCCTGGATTTGTCCACTTACCCTTGCTCATCTGTACTGCCAGTACCTTACATCGGGACTTCATTTATGATCTGCTATGACCAGAGCTTCTTAACTGGCCCCTCTTCCTTCATTTTCATCTTTTGCAATTAGTTGTTCACTTCTTCTAAAAAGATCTTTTCAAAATGAGAAGCTGCTCACAATTGAAATTCTTCTATGTTCCCCATCACCTTGAGCCCTGGGCCCTGGCTATTCCTCTTCTCTAGCCTCCACCCTCTCCATTCCTGGGCAAGAAGCTCCAGCTAGACCAGATAACTTGTAGACAAGATGTCCTTCTTACTCCTTAGGTACACTCCAGATGTTAAGAGAAACTCCTTAGGGTCTCTGCAAGAGCTCCTTCATTTTTCTTTTTTCTTTTTTTAATTTTTTTGATACCAGAGATTGAATCCAGGGGTGTTTAACCACTGAGCCACATTCCTAGCCCCTTTTTTATATTTTATTTGGAGACAGGGTTTCACTGAGCCACTGGGATTACAGGCATGCACCACCATGCCTGACTCTTTAATTTTTCCTAAAACTGATTTGACTAATTGCGATTTCCATTTTTCTCTATTACTTTCACTTTCCCTTCTCAGCTCACCTTCTCATAGAGTTTTCCATGACCGCTTCCCATCATAATGCCCTCTTAAAATGAAATTAATCCCCCTCACCCCATCCCCCTGATATATCCCCCTTCTTCCAACCATATGCATGAATGGAGTTCTTACAAGCTTGCATTTTGTTATCCTTTCCCTGTGAGGCCACTAGGCAAGGTCATACTCTATGGAGTGTGGCAGTCTTTCCTAAAGAGTATATTCTCAGTGCCATCCATCTGAAGAAGGAGCAGATTCACGTACCAAAAACTAGAGCTTGGAGCTGGGCATGATGGTACATGCTTGTGATCCCAGCAGCTAGTGAAGCTGAGGCAGGAGGGTTACAAGTTCAAGGCCAGCCTCAGCAACCTATCGAGGCCCTAAGAGCCTGTCTCAAAAAAAAAGATGTGGCTCAGTGGTTAAGTGCCCATGGGTTCAATCTCCGGTACTAAAAAGGGAAGGGGAGGGGAGGGGAGGGGAGGGGGGTAACTAGAGCTTGGAAAGACCAGTCTCCAATAGAGAAGAAACTTCTTTCTCTCTCCAAACTTTGCTAATCACATCTGGACTTCAGGAGTTGAGGTACACCCCAGATGTTAAGATACACTAGAGAAGAGACTTAGAAGGAAGTTGTCCCTGGAGGAGTCATATTTCATCTAGTTTAACTAGATTACCCAGTTACCTATTGCATCATTATCTTTCTACATCTCCTTTAGTGTTCTGGTTTAACTATTCTAGCTGAGCTTCAACTATGGTTCAGAGATGTAAGGGATCAAGTGAGAGCAGACTTGGGCCAGAACAATAAAAGGGATGCAGTGCCTCCCTGAGGCCAGAATGGTGATGACAACAAAATTAGAGATTTCCCCAAAAGGAAGGTCAGTCATGAAGACCAGGAATTCCTGAAAAGAAGAACAACACTATTTCACTCCACTGCCATTCTGTAAGGATCACTTTTACTCTTATTACAGGAGTGGGGGTGATGTCTCAGTCCTGCCTCAAATGTTCCCGATGCCCTCTTTACTGAACTTGTACAACCCTGTCTCACTGTAATACAGTCCCTGTGTTTTGATCTGTCTTTCCTAATGCACTCTAAGCTCCCTGAACTGTTCAGGAATTGTGCCTTATCCCTCTCTGCCCAGCACTGAGCATCAGGACTGGCATATGGCAGGTGCCTAATAAAATTCTAGTTGAAAGATTCAGGAAGCTAGTAATGAAGTGATGACTGAGAAAAAGGCATAGGGTCAGAGATGGAGGGATATGGAATGCTAAGCTAGACTGTGGGTAGGTACCAAGGATTGGTGAGAAGGGTGGTGATGAAGGCATTAAAAGCTTTAGAGTAGTCGTGTTTGTGTTGAGAAAGAAAGTAGTCGTGTTCTCTCTTTAATGAGAGAAAAAGGAACGTTAAGTAGAAGGGGTAGAGAGTGTCAGCAAGATGACAGAAAGATTTCAATAGTCCAAGAAAAAGTGAGGGTTATTTGGATTCAAAACTAATCCAAGAATGTGTATTCAAAATCAGACTACAGTTTTTTTAGTGTGAAGGAAAACTGAAGACAATTCATTATTTTAGGTTATGCATTTATGAATGTAAAATCATCTTTAAAGATATCTTTTGGATAAAAATATACTTTCTTGCCAGGTGCAGTGGTATATGCTTGTAATCCCAGTGGCTCAGGAGGCTGAGGCAGGAGGATTATGAGTTCAAAGCCAGCCTCAGCAACTGGTAAGGTGCTAAGCAACTTGATGAGACCTTGTCTCTAAATAAAATACAAAATAGGGGGTTCTGGGGTTGTGACTCAGTGGCAGAGCATTTGCCTAGCATGTGTGAGGCACTGGGTTCAACTCTCAGCACCATATATAATAAATGAATAAAATAAAGGTCCATCAACATCTAAAAAATTATTAAAAGATAAAATACAAAATAGGGCTGGGGATATGGCTCAGTGCTTGAGTGCCCCTGAGTTCAATAGTTCAATACCTGGTATAAAATATATATATATCTTAGCATTCCATGTCCTTCCATATATATATTTATACACACACACAAATAGAATATTACCATGACTTGTCTAAAGGGTTTCTGTGTTTTTATGGGTAGAAGCTTCTTATAAATATTTACTTTTAAACATGTTTGTCTATCTTTGCATTACTTTTACTTTTAAGCCCTGTATTAGGTACTCACAGAGTATGTACAATACACATCAAAATCTTTGGAATGACATTTTTATATGTGTGTGAAATATACTATATAGACATCTATAATGTACATACCCAAAAGCCACATATTTTTTATCCAGATAGGGAGCTGCTTGTAGGGTGATATAGAATTGTGACCCATTGGTGTGATGGCCTTGGTTGACCATTCCAAGAACTCCTCTTCTATTATGAGGAACTGAAAAATTTTCATCTAGGAAAGAAAATAATAAGTCATTAAAATACTTCTATTAAGGTACAAATATAACCTTGGTGACAATCTTAATTGTAGATTTCCTATTTTTTTTGTTTTGTTTGAGCTGTAGATGAACACAATACCTTGAGTTTATTTATTTATTTATTTATTTATTTATTTATTAATGTGGTGCCGAGGGTCAAACCCAGAGCCTCACACATTCGAGGCAAGTGCTCTACCATTGAGCCACAACCCCAGCCCTTCATATTATTTTCAAACATGCAAATGACAATAAAGTTAAGCTGTAAAATCTTACTAGAACTATTTGAGCACTTGTTCTACTTGAACTTTACCATGGCTAAAATCAAGTGTGCTAAGGAAATTAATAATGTAAGAGGAATCATTTTTGCTTACAAATACAGGTCAACAAAATTTCTTGTATTGTTTTCTCAGCAGTATTTCATTCAAATGACCAATGTGGTCATTAAAAACATCACTTTAGAAAAAGAATCACTTCTGAGAAGTCTCTCCTGGGCATCCTGCTCATATCTCTGTGACAGCCCTGCTACACTCTGCATAGTCACTAGTTTCCAGGTGTTTCCTCTCTCCTGTGGGAAGGTAGGACCTTTGTCTCATTTTAGCTTTTGCTGTAGGACCCTAGCACATTAATCAGCTTAGGTGTGACCCTAAATGTTGAGATGCAGAAATTAATTTAGGCTTATTTTTACTTCTCTTTCAATAAATTTTAATCTCAGTCCTTACATAGATTGATAAGATTTTGTGGAAAGTGATTTTTTTTTTTTTTAGTGTAATGTTAACAAGTAAAAAGAATGTACAGTGGCTTCAGGCTACCATTTTGGGGAAGAACCATTCCCGGCTTTGCCTCCAAGCTCAATTATACAAAAAGATGTAACATAATAAATTCAGGAGTTTTCACTCAATAACTACATAGAGTTCTGAGGATAATTGAGGGATATGAATATTAATTATCAATATGATTTAATTACACTGCATTTGCTGACTGTTATTATTTTTAAGTTCCAAACAAAGCAGACTAAGCAAAGCAGCAATGTTGGTGGTGGTGACTTTTAGCTTCTTAAATTTTAAACTGAATAAAGATTTCCGAAATCTTATGAAATGCAAATAAGACAGTTTTTACAAGTGAGTCTATATAATTACATCAATGTCTCATTTTAATTTCAATGGAATAAATCATCCATTAATAGAAAATCAGATGGAATGGAAAATCTGTCCAATGCAAAGATTCAGAGTGTTTTTAAAAACTGGTATTTATCATTTGCTCTCAGAAATTATGATTAATCTTCCTTATATTGTGTAAGTACCAGGAAAGAAAATTTATAGAGATGTAACATTTTATCAAAAATTCTGAGATTATGGGGTGTTTTAAAGCAGTAAATCATAATATATATTTTAAAAAATGCTACTTGTATGGAAGCCCATGCATAAAACAGATTTTAAAAAAACAAAAAACAAGGGCCTAGAGCCCTCTCACTGCCTGAAGACATTTCCTTAGGTCCCCATGGAACTCTTTAGAGGATAATTCGAAAGCCACTGCTATAAAGAGACAAGAGAGAGTATGTTCTTATAAGATACAGGGAAATCCTGATTTACAAAGTTAAAATGTACAGATCCGAAAAAAAGTGAGAAACTATATGACTACTTTATGGGTTGTATTAATACAAAATGCTTATATGAATCTTAGGGACTTAAAGCTATGCTGTTTCTTTACAGGCACTACCCAGTGGTCATGTCACAGCCAGGTCTACTTTATATTACTATGACTAAATCAAATGAAATAATGTGTGAGGGTCAGATGTGGTGATGCATGGCTACAGTCCCAGCTATTTGGGAAGCTGAGGCAGGAGGATCCCATTTGTTAAAGACTACTCTGGGCCCGATGAGGTGGCGCATGCCTATAATCCCAGCAGCTTTAGAGGCTGAGGCAGGAGAATCGAGAGTCCAAAGCCAGCCTCAGCAAATTAGGGCACCATAAGCAACTCAGTGAGACTGTTCTCTAAGTAAAATTTTAAAAAGGGCTGGGGATGTGGCTCAGTGGTTAAATATCCCAGAGTTCAATCCCTGGTGCCAAAAACAAAACAAAATAAAATAAAAATCACCCTGGGCAACATAGCAGGACTCTGTCTCAAAAAAAAAAATTTTTTTTTGTTTAGAAAGTTTTTTAAAAATAAAATTATGTATAAGAAAGAATCCTATTTGCTCTAAATAGGGTTTAGACCTAAATACAGACCTATCAAGTATCACAATGCAAAGATCAGTGTTGTTTTGCCACATTTCTTAATGGTTCTCTGATCTGCCCACCTTTCTGTTTCTCTTTTTTTTTCCCTTTGTTTTTATTTTTATTTTTTTCTCTGTATATTTCGATCTTATCAACCACTCTTCTTTCCTTCTGCTTCCTTATAATTTTCTACAAGCTCCCATGAATCTCTAAACTTTGAAATTCATACATTTAAAAAAATATATTTATTGATGTAAAGTTCCTGGGCTTTTTCCTAATATAAATAGTTAATTTCATTTATCGTTTAAACGTTGCTTTACACACCCAAGAAAGAAAAATAGGTCTTATATCAATCAATGGCACTGCTGAAGGGGGCTGAACCTCTTTAGGCTTACCTAAATAAACAGGGCAGCAGCCCAAGTAGAGGGATTTTACCTTCTATTTGGTAAGGAGTGAGATCATTGGCCTTTAGATAGGTTTGAATTGAGTCCTTTCTCCCTGAGTGTTTCTGCCAAGGATAAAGCATGTATGGAACAACCAGAGAGAACCCAATAGAAAAAAAAAAAAAGAGAGAGAGAGAACCCAATAGATGAAATTTGCCTAAGCAAAAAGAGAAGATATTTATTTAGGGCTTTAAAGTTTTGTTTCAAAACAAAGTTGTCGGGAGCTGCTCTGGAAATACACTCCCTGAGCAAGAGATACTGAACAATAATTGCGCCCCACTATAACTTGGGCCTTACTTCCGCTTGGATAATGAGGCTCCAGGAGTAGGTGTTACCCAGTGGGGTTGAGTTACACTCACCTGTTCCTTTGTAATCCTGCCTTTTGCCTCATTTGAATGGCTTCTCCCCAATAAAACTGGGTTCCAGGTGTGCCCTCTCTCTTTCTTGCCTGCCTTGCCTCCTTTGTGGGAGCTGGGTCAGAGGAGCCATCACAGAACCCAAAGAAAACGGTATTTCTCTGTCTTTGTGTAATTATTTCGTGCCATCCCAGTTCACCTGGAGTGACCCTGACAGGGTATGCAGTTCAGTGCTAAAGCACTTGCCTAGCAGGCTCAAGGGCCTGGGTTCAATCTCTAGCACCACAAAAAAAAACCCAAAAAACAAAAACCAAACAAACAAAGCAAACAGACTCTCCAAGTTTAAAAAGATTAACCCATTAATACAAAAATGAACTGAAATTATATATCATTTCATTGTTTTTAAATTCTCCTTAAGTTTTAAACTTGGGGTTGTTTTAACAAGTTTTGGACTTAATTCTGCATGTTGTGGAAAGAGGGCTAATCAGAGAAAAGCAATGGAAAGCCTGGCTGTCCACCATATTAATATTCCTCAGGGGTAAAAGGAGAGGAAACCCAGCTTTAGCTGTTTTGATGATTAGCCTTGCTCTCTTTTTCACACTCATTTTTCCCTCTGGAACATGGCTCCCTTTCATTTGGTTGCTTATTGAACATTTTCTAATTCTGTGCTGCCAGACCAACTGCAGTTACAAAGGCTTTGCTGAGCACACTGAGCCTCCATAACTGCCAGCAAGACAGCAAGGTCTCCACGGGTGGACTGCACACCAAACAGTCTAAGAATGGAGTGTCTAGAGTGCCAGGTGAGGAGATTATCAGAGACCATTTCCCCATGGAGCAAGAGGTCCACATTCTGAGGCTGTGCCACTGTGCACATAGTTTGGGCGGTCTGATTGTGGCATGGTGTTGGGAGGTATGGTAAATTCTCATCAGGGATTAAGGAGGCCAGGAAAGCTTCCAAAAGGGTCCTTTCCCATCTGCAGTCTTATTTTAAGACCCAACCCACCAGCTTCCCTGTGCTGCTGCCTCCGACAGTCCCAGGCAGCTATTCTTTCCTTTCTCACAGCATTCAGTTCTACCCTCCATAACAGCACCTGGGGGTGGCATTTGTATCTGATTAAACATCTGTCTACATGAAAACATGGACATTTCAGGGAAGAAATTTGGTCATATAGACTTTGTTTTCTCAAATTCTAGAATCATACAGGCACTGGCCTAGGAGTCTAATGTTGTGTGAATGTATAAATGGTGTTTCTTGAATGTTTTTATTTCACAAAGGTGTCTCTGAACAAATTTTGAAGAAAATTAGTTATTATTTTTCCCTTTTAATGTGGCCATTGGTTCATTAAGATTTTTTTTAAACTTTTTATTAATAAAATACAAATACAAAAGATCAAAGAAAAACTAATGTTTAGTTAAAGAGTACTTATGAAACACTTTTAATTACCACTCTGGCAGAGAAAAGAACTTTGCTAGCCTCCCCCAAACTGCCTTGTCAAACCCCTCTCTCCCCTAAAATAACCATTCCCTTGACTATTGTAAAATCATGAACATAATGTCCCCCACACCACGCTTTTTTTTTTTAAGTGCTGAGGATCAAACTTAGGGTTTCATGCATGCTCAGCAAGCACTCTACCACTGAGCTACATCCCAGCCCATAACATTTCCTTATATAGAAGTTTTATCATCCAAATGTGCATCCCTGTGCACTAGAGTTTGGTCTTTCCCATTTTAAAAGACTTGTCAGTTTGGGGATGTAGCTCGGGACAGAGTATTTATCTAACATCCACAAAGCCCAAGGTTTGATCCCCAGCACTGAAATAAGAAGAAGAAGAAAAAAAAGACTTGATATGCCTTTTAAATCTCTATTAACCTGAAGGTTTTACCTCTATCCTGTCATTTCTCTATACTTTATTAAAGAACCTGAGCTATCTAACCCCTAGAATGTCTTCAAGTCTCTAGTTTGCTGATTTCACACATGTGCAGCAATGTACCATTACTATAGTTTGGAACTCAAATGTCCCTCGTGAGTGTCCCCGCCTCCCCCCACCCCATGGTGGTGGGATCTTTGAGGAAGGAGAAATTTAGATCGTTGGGGATATGAAAGCATGGCCTTGAGAAGGATAGTGGAATCTTAGGTCCAATATCTCTATTTCTCTCTTACACACATACACACTTCCTGCTGCCATGAGCTGAGCAGCTTTGCACCACCATGTGCTCCCACCATAATGTTTTGCTTTGTCACAGGCCCCAAAGCAATGGGTCCCCCCAACCATGAACTGAAATCTTTGATACCATGAGCCAAAATAAACTTTCTTTCTTTTAAGTTGATTATCTCAGATATTCTCTCATAGTGGTGGAAAGATGAATGTTTCCTCTGTCCTCTGTCCTATCACCTCTGCTATAACACTTGTTTCAAAATGCAAAATTGTTTCAACTTGATTTCACCCATTTACTGTGCTTCCTCCTTGAGAAACACAAGGTGAATGAAAACTCTATCCAGATGGAACAAACACATTTCAATCATCTACCAGCTAACTCAGGGCGAATCATGAGCCCCACTATGTCATCCTTAACAGTAAAGGAGAGCGGTGAAGCTCTGTGTCCCTGAAATGCCCCTTTCCATTCCCAAGAACCTAACCAAGTTAAGAAAACAACATAAGTGGGCCTGGACTGGAATGTCCAGATAAATACTATCTTGAAGGACAATGACTCTTTCTCATGTGTACTGCAAATAGGGTAAGTTAGTGTTATCTGTAGGAATGGCTTTCTTGCATGTATTCCAGGAAACTGTTCCTTGGAATGCTGGTCAAACAAGGAACAAAGCAAACTAATCATGTCACTTTTTCTGTAGCCTAACTTACAAAACACCTCTCCCAGAGATAATTGGTATAGAACTGGGGGCACTGTGGAGAGGATTAGTACCATTCATCCAGCCCCCCAACACTGGATAAGGTGTCACGAGGGGCAGAGGTGCTATTTGACAAAGTACCATGAGGGTTGGAGGTGATCTCTGTCCAGCCTATCAAGTGGACTTTCTGAAGTAATTTTTGAGGGATGAAGGCACTATTTGGTGAAGCACTGTGAGAGACTGAGGTGACAAGGTCCAGTCTGTTGCCACTGAATCTTTTGCATAAGCATTTTCAATAAGCCTTGTATCTCATATGCTGTTTTCAGGTTTTTCTTTCTTTCTTTCTTTTTTTTTTTTTTTTAGTCTCTTAGCAACCTATCCCACTGCCCTAGCACAAGTGGGCTGTGGTCTCAACACCCACCCACCCACATTTGGTGTTCTGAACTCCAAAAGCTCTCCTTCCACTTTGACCAAATCAAAGCATCAACTCTTCCCATGCCCACCTCCACAACAAACTTCAAGTCTTTTTCAAGGTAAAATTTATTATAGTACTTGTTTCTTGATCATTTAATACATGTAAAATAGTGTTACTTTTTTTTAGATTACTCTGTGTGTGTGTGTGTGTGTGTGTGTGTGTGTGGGTGTGTGTACTGTCAATGGACCTTTATATTATTTATTTATATATGGTGCTGAGAACTGAACCCAGCACTTCATTCACACATGCTAGGTAAGCACTCTACCACTGAGCCACAACCCAGCCCCTATTGTCTTGTTTTTTATTGTGACACTGATGACCTTTTTGTAACCTCATTTTTACCATAAATTTTTGCCTGAGGTTTTTACTTCATGGTGTTATATGGTGCAAATATTTCTTTGGAATATATATCACATTATAACTGAACTGACTGTATTTCTTAAACATTGGCTGGGTCCAGAGAATCAGGCTCATGTTCTGTTCCTTCGCTAATGTGTTCTTTCAACAGAAGGCACAGAATGTCTCTGATTTTTTTTGTCTTTGATTTGGGACATTAATAGATATTGATGCGGCAAATGCCTACATGCATTATATCACTGCAGGCAGCAAAGGGGGTGCTATTCTATTATTTCCTTTTCATTTATTAATTGGAACATTTTTAAAAATAGATGTTTTCCTTTATCTATAAGTTCATACAGTTCATATAGGAAAAGCAGGAAAAATGTTTGATTTTTTTCTCTGTTTTTAGCAGTTTTCAGGATAATGAATTCTTTTCCTATCATTCTCCCAAAGGTAACCAATTAGGTTTTATTTAATAATTTAATATAATTATGAACTCATAGATTAAAATATTTGACGAGTTTTGGTCAATTGCTATTACTATTCTTTTTGAAGTTCAAATTATTACATCTTTGGCCATAACAGCCTCTTCAAATTGACCTCTGGGGCCTTTTGCCATGACCTTAGTAACTTTTATAGTGTTCTTGTCATCTGTTAGAACATGAGGTAGATAATAAACTGGGATTTATCCTAGATAAAGAAATAATATAATTAGGCAAGTAAAACAAAATATGTGCTCAAACTGTTCTGGACCAGGCTTATCCCCATAATTTTTAACTATATGTATATATATGCACATGTATAAATATAATAATATATATGAATATATGATATATACATATTAACATATATATACTGATATATATGTGTGTGTGTGTGTGTGTGTGTGTGTGTATATATATATATATATATATATACCTAACACTATCTTATTTGGAGTTGTGAAAAATCTAATCTTATGTGTCTTTAAATGTGTCAGTAATGTATTAGTGGATTATTCAAATTTAAGAGAACTAGATGTTTAAAACACATACCTTCAAATGTTGGTCCATAAATAGACTCTCCATTATCTCCTCTTCCAGCTACTATGTCTAAGAAATAGCAGTAAGTAAACAGAATTTTGAGGTTAAAAAAGTTAGAGTGCAGTAATGATAGGTGGGAAAAGATATTTTAAATTATGATTATACTTTTACCAATATCTAGAGTAAGTCACCTGTTTAATATCTAAACCATGAAAATTTTACCATAATAACTTCATGTGCATTTTTTAATGATTTTTATTTTCAGGATTCCATTTTATCCTTATAAAACTCTCTGATGTAGCTTAAACTACAGTGCAAAACCTTTGAAATAATGAAGTATTAAGTTACCATTGTGGTCATGATTTTAAAAAGTGTTCACATAAATTCTGCTTACTTCAAAAGTTATCCCATAGACCTCCTTGCTTTTCAGAGAAATAGGGAGATTAAGCTAGGAGGATAAAATAGGAAGAGTAAGTTCTTTTTAGAGTGTAACTAAAAATACGTGCTCTAAAAAGAATACATGTTCAAATTTTCATTCCTGTGGTTCCCCTGTAGAGATAACATTCATTTCCCCAATATTTTGGAAATAAAATTCCTTATAATGTAATGAGGTTCTCTTAGATATTTATAAGACATGCATATTTTGGCTTAGGCAATGCTCCTACTATAAAAAGACTCCAGGTACAAGTTATTTTATATATTGAAAGGAAGACATGTTTGTCTTCTATACCCCAGACTCCTCATCAGTATTCTTTCAGTATTCTGATCCACCCTCCTCTTCTAATAGTGTTAAATAAACCTTTTTTGAAGGACTATTTTAGCCAAGTAAGAGCAATTATCTCTAATAAAAGTCTGCTAATTTTAAAGAAATCTGATACAACATTAAGCACGTGGAGAGAATTTATTTGGAAAAGAAAATGTAGCATTTAAGTTATACTATTCGTAAAACTGGTTCAGAGGTTAATCGATAAGTCTTAAATCTAAAACCCTACTTGGCTTAAAATTCCAAATGGATATGTAATGGCTGAAGGCTAAATCTGGAAATGGGGAAGTTAAGGTTTCTGATTTCCAATCCTTTGGATCCTAGTCTACTTTGTTCAGGAAAGTCTGCCCAGCTGGATACTTTCCCCTTCTAACTTACCTAACATCAGTCATACTCCTTTGCCTCATATACCTTACACTCCCCAAAGTTCCTCTTGTCCTCCACGTCAAATGTCCCAGATGAATGTTTTATGTTGACACCATTTCAATTAGTATTTACTACTATTTTTGGTGGCCATAACCCACTCACTTGAATTCAGCCTTGTATATGATATTATGTCTGTAACTCTGACAACAAATTTAGAGATGCCAAATAGTGGCTAAAAGTAAATTTGAAGTCAGATGATTATGATTGAAATCTTGACATTAGTTACTTTTCCCAAGCCTCTTCCTTGCCTGTATAAACAGAGATACCAGTAACTGCCTCACAGGTGGCTCTTAGGATTAAGTGAAATGATGAAGGGCAGTACCTGGCAGGGTGGTATGCTCATTCATCAGTGGCTGCCACTACAGTGTAGAATTCCATGAATATAGAATGCATCCATTTATTATCATCATCTTCATAATTTTCAACATGATGATGATAATAATAAGATGTATTAAATTATATCCCGAGACCCTTCTAAAGTCAGGCTTTGTGGGAGTCACAGAGGGGAATCTGACCAAAGTGATATATTGAGTTGGTATCTTCTTTAACTTTGTACTTTTGAAATGAAGACAATGTATGCTTCCTACTCAAGTGTTTCTTCATTCATTCTTTCTTTCTTTCAGCAAATGTTAACTACCTAGACTATGCTAGGTACTGTTCTAGCTAGAACAAGGGATGCAAGAGTGAACTAAGTAGATAAAAAATCTCTACCCTCATGGGATGTATATTCTAGTGAAGAGAAATAGACATTAGACAAATGTCTTATAATTCACATAATTGCATATCCAAGAAATATTGGACATACTATTATTATATGTCCAATGGTGAAAAACACTATAAAGAAAGAAAGTGGCAGGGTTTTTTTTTTTTAAGTTGTAGATGGATATAATTTCTATGTGGAGCTGAGGATCGAACCCAGTGCCTTACACATGCTAGGCAAATGCCCTACCACTGAGCCACAACCTCAGCCCCAGAAAGTGGTGGTTTTAAATAGGGTGTCCTTGCTGAGATTCACTGTAGGGAAAATCCAATAAGTTTGTGAAAGAAGGGGATATCTGGAGATATAGCTGGGTGGAGTATGTCCCAGCCAAAACAAAAGACTTCAAGGCCAACTTGTAATTGATGTGCTTAAGAAATAGCAAGGGAGCCCATATGTGGAGCCGAATGAGCAAGAGGGAGATGTCAAAAGACGGGGATGGAGGGGAAGGCAGTGTGGAAATGTGAGGCCTGTTGGTCCCAAAGCTTAAGTAACAATACCTAGAAGCATTTTAAGGCATGACACAAAACCAAATTTAGCTCTTATGCTCCCCAATTCTACATTGCTCTAGGGGAATTCAACATCTGAAGGGAGAAGATAATGTCCAGACTTTGCACTTTTTTTTCCATATTTTTTTATTGGGCATAATAATTATATGTAATAGCAGGATTCACTGTTACAGAGCTTGACACTTTCAGTTCTCCATGTTACTGAATACTTACCACAAACTTTAATATTATTAAAATTATCCCCATTTTATGATTAAGGAACTGAGTCAGAGATGCTAAGTGCATATCTAAGGTGGTACAACTTATATGTATCAAAGTTTAGATTTCAATCTAGCAATCTCATTTTTTCCTAAACTGTTCTTAATTCTCAAAATGTGTGCACTTTACTATTTAGAAATTTTACTGCAAAAACCCCAAACAAATAATATGACCTACTTTTCCCAAGAAATTTTACTGCAAAAACCCCAAACAAATAATATGACCTACTTTTCCCAAATCTTGCTCTGGGGGAGTTTAATCAAAAACAAATGGAGACCAAAATCCTTCAGATAATACTTTTCACTAGTAACAATGTAATGTCTTTGGCAAGAAATTAATTATTTTCCATTTATTTTATTTTCAAATTTCTGAGCATCTGAGATCCTGGCCTGGGAGAGTCACTATCAGGCGCAGAACCAGGAGCCCTCAGTGGTAAAGCATCCCTGGGTTCAATCCCTGGTATCCCCCCCCCCCGAAAAAAAGTGTTAGGAACCCTGATGTTGGTTCCCTTAAGGATTGTTTCATACTAACAAAACAAAACAGACAAAACATGGAAAATAATCAAAATGTTTACCAGTAGGAAAATTAAAATTATTTAACAATATTTAAAAGACTGGGAAGACTCCAAAAATTTTCTGTGTTTATGTTCTTTGGGAAGATAAATACCTCATATAAAGTGGGAAAAAAAATTAAGGTTAGATAACAGTATTTGTGATATGATCTCATTTTGCAGAGATTAAGGAAAGAATACCTGCTTTACATGCAAAAGACTTGGAATAAATCTTGAAATAACCCCCCCTCATCAGTCTCAAAATATTACAGATCATACTAAAAAATTAAACATCAATTTAAGCTTCTGCATATGTTATCAAGTTCAAGCAAATCTCCTTCTACACTAAGTCAATTATTTTTAAATTGCTGCCTGATTTCTCCTTATGGAATATCTTCCAAAAGCCCTTCAAAATTTAATTTTGTACTGTTAATCAAGCACCTATTCTGAGGAAAGCCAAAGGATTGACCTGAAAAGAAACACAAAAGGAGACCAAAATCCTTCAGATAATACTTTTCACTAGTAACAATGTAATGTGTTTGGCAAAAAATAAATTATTTTCCATTTATTTTACTTTCAAATTTCTACCCTTAACATATTTCTTAAAAGCACTGTGTTTCAAGGTATTTTCATGTATTTAGTTGAGCATTTAAAATTATTTTTTTATTTTAAAAAAAAGTTAGCATACTTTTTAATTTAGAATATTCCTGATAATGTGTTTTTAAAAAAATAATTAGTGATCTGTATAAAGCAATACAAATATCTTAATTTATCATTTAGCCATATAAACATCCTTTAAGTACATATTTAAAATTAAGACTATCTAATTATTAGAGAGTAATAGTTACCAAACTCTTTTATATATGCACATACCTATTATTGTTATTTGTATGTGAATATGACCCATGAAACCCACTATTTTATGTAATTAATATACACCAATAAATAAGAGAATATCTAATTCTATATGCATTTTATAAAAGTAGCTAAACAAAATTCTGGGTTTGCAATTAAGTTGTATGTAAGAATTTAAACTCACCTCCCCCTTGTATCCAACCATTCTGGACCACTCGATGAATAATTGAATCTTTGTAATGTAACCTTATGCCACTTTGAGAAAACCCTGCTCTTCCTGTGCACAGGAACTGAAAATTTTTACATGTTTTGGGACATACATCACAATATAGCTACAAAATAAAGACAAAAGGTTTCAAAGATGAAATATTTTAACATCTTAACAATCATAGATGCTTCCCAACTTTTTTTTTTTAGAAAGGCAACATCCTCTTACCTCAAAAATCAACCGTCCAATTGGATAAAAATTAATCTTAATGTCCAAGAATACAAAAACATGCTATTAAAATTAGGGAGAAAAAGATAATGCAGGTCAATGTCTTGTAAGAAAGTTATAGAAATGACCAAAAATATAACAGACATGTTTTCTGTGATAAAACTTTAATAGCATTACCAATAAATAACAACAGAGAAATCAAATGAATGACAAAGCTCATTTTCTTTTCTTTTACCAAGTCTTTACAACTCACATGACATATTTTTAAAACTTTGTTTTTCATTATATATTTTTAAAACCTTTCAGTAGTGAGGCTTTGAAAAATGTTAACTGATCACAGGCCCATACGGCCTAGCTATCCACTACCTCACAATTCCACAAGGCAAGGGAAACTGGTCAGTTCCCCTGGGAAAAGAAACAGACTGGGAATTCTTTTCTACTTCTGTTTTCTTTCCTGAATAGTTCTGAGAAAACATCCATCCTGAGTGCCATGGATTTGGTTACCAGTTGTTCTGGATTTTCAGAGAGCACAGATTAGTTAGCCAGAGCCAAGCACAGCACAGACTAGCTTTCCAAGTGGAAAAAATGAGGCCTCTATATCTACAGGAGGTGTGGCACTAGGGGTAGGGAAGACAAGGAGGCTGAGTTATCTTCAAAAATTCTCTTACATGCACAAATGCCTCCAGCTCTTGTTTTCACTTAGTACCCTTTCCAGTAGAGTTGACTATTTTCGAGACCTTGTCTGATCCTTTAAAGAAGCATCTGAACTGAAAACACTAGTCTTCATTAATAAAGCATTCACTTAGGGGCCACAGCACAGCTAATGGAGTGCTCTAAATCTTGGATACCATATTCATATATACCAAAGTGCCACTTTTTTTTAAATGATGTGCATAACTTGGCCTAACCTCTTTCTTTAAAAGGGATCCCGAGCCTGTGTGCGGATCTGCCTTTTTTTTTTTTTTTTTTAAGAGAGAGTGAGAGAGAATTTTAATATTTATTTTTTAGTTCTCGGCAGACACAACATCTTTGTTGGTATGTGGTGCTGAGGATCGAACCCGGGCCGCACGCATGCCAGACGAGCACGCTACTGCTTGAGCCACTTCCCCAGCCCCTAACCTCTTTCTTAAGAATCTGGGAAACGTAAATGATATCATCTTAAAATATGTTATTTATGTCACTATAATTAACTTGGTAGGGCTTCTCTGTTTCTGTACAAGTTCTTAATTATAAAAGAGAATATTATAAATGAAGAATAGGAAACATAGTAAACTTTACAGTTTAAGAGGAATAAAAGGCTATAATGGAAATCATGATTGATTGAGAAAATAAGTAAGTTCATTCAGGCATGATTAAACTTCCACGTTCATCAACAGGTTATCTTTGGTGATTGTCAAGAGTATATAATTCTGAAAACGCTGATGAAGAGATCTAATAAATGCAACACCAGGTAATTTCCTAGTCACCAGCAACCAAACATATAAACATACTTGTTTAGCATATGGTTCTAACCTGGAAGTAAACAAGTCCCTGGGTTTGACTCAGCAAGAAAAGTCTACTTCTCAGGCTCTTCTCTGGAATCAAGGACTTCCATCCTCACTGCCACCAATTAATCCAGGCTTTCATTATTCCTGGCCCATGCTACTATAGCAACTTTCCAAACACCTACCCTGCTCGGCCTGCTTTGGCACGATCCTAAATTTTTTTCTAAAAGAGGAAAAAGAATATGTCATACTCTTTTGATGAAAAGTTCTGTTGGCTTGGTTTCCTTCTGGATAAAATCTGGCTCCTTGGTTCAGAATGGACAGTAAATCATAATCTGGCTGAGAAATTATAATTTCTTTTTTATCTATTACTTTTTTTCCTCCTTTTTCTTAACTTCTGAACACTCTTTCTGGTGGGAAACTCCCTGCAGGGCCCAACTGCTCTCACTAGAACCTAAAGGGGCCAGATTCTCCCTCTACCCTAGCCTTTGACAACCAGGTTGTGGCAATAAAACTGGGGCTTGCCAGACAAGTCCTCCTGCCTGGGGCCCTGGAGTTCCAAGGAGTGGTGCAAAGACAAAAGGGCAGTCCACGTCTCAATGATGGTGGCTCTGTGAATTTAAAGCCAGCAGCATCTGCCTGCAGCAACATCCTGGTGACACATTCCTGCCACATAACTCTTGCCATGTTTTTACCTATATGGCCTTCCTTGGTTACCTGTTTTTCAAAGCAGGTTCTCCAGCTTTCCTGTCAACTGTCAGATAACCAACATAATTTCAATACATACCCTCCTTTCCTTAAGTAGCTTGGTGCTGTTGGCACCAACGGTCTTGGCTGATAATCTCATTTCCTTGTCTCATTTCGTACTAATTATGGCTTCCTTGTTGTCCCATCATTCCCAGAATATACCATGTACTTTCAGACTTCTGACCCTTGAACATTCCTCCACACACCCCAGAGTTTCTAGCATTTTTAAACTGCACTGCTTATTCAACCCAACATTCACTGAGCACTCACTATGTTTTATTTTGGTTCAAGGTAGTAGTTAAATGAGGATCCATAAAGCAAGGTCTCTGCCTTTGCAAAACCTCAGATCCTAGCAATGTGTCACTTTGTGTATACAGGCCACCATGGGCTTAAAATTATTTCTAGGAGGTGATAGTTGTCAGTACAACAAAGTCTCAGAGCAAAATTACAAAGTATCTTTACCTGTATCACCATCCTAGTGCCTGTCTCTCACCTCCCTGGACCTCATGTTTCTCACCATCCTGTCACTGGAAACTGCCAGTGTCTGTGAGGTCTGCTCTCACCAACTATGTGTCATGCTTTAAAATCTGACACTTTTCCCCCTTTTCCTTTCCTCTCCTTCCTCTTCCCTTCCTTACTTTTCTTCCTCCCTTTCCTTCTTCTTCTTTCTCTTCTTTTTCCCTATCCCTCTCTTTTTCTCTCTCTTTTTTTTTTTTCTGGCATGCTGGAGATTGAACCCAGGGGAATTCTATTATTAAGCTTCATCCCCAGTCCCTTTTATTTTTTACTGTGGCACAAGGTTTCGATAAGTTGCTCAGGTTGGTGTTGAACTTGAGATCCTTCTGCTTCAGTCTCTATAGCTGATGGGGCTACAGAAGTGCACACAGGGGGGGGGTCGGGGCTGTGGCTCAGTGGTAGAGCGCTCACCTAGCACATGTGAGGCCCTGGGTTCGATCCTCAGCACCACATAAAAATAAGTAAGTAAAATAAAGGTATTGTGCCCAACTGCAACTAAAAAATAAATAATAAAAAAGAAGTGCAGACAGGGGTTTTTATATTTTAAAGTGGAAAACTCATGCAAATAAATCTATAAAATGGAGGAGAAATGTTTGAGCAGAGAGTTCTCCCCAACCAGCTTACCTACTGAGAAATAATGCTTTCTCTATAGCACCAAGCCAAACTTTGCCTTCCTACAGTATTTTGCAAGTGAATCTTAATAGTCACCAAAGGCTTATACCCATGGCTCCTACTTTTTATATTCCTTTTGTTAGAATTTGAATAATGAATGCTGAATCAACATAAATGATCAAAAAATTCATTATTTTACTTTGTAAAAAAATAAATCAATATAACTTGCCTTAAAAATATATATATACATACATATATAAAACTTGCCTTGGTGTCTCTCAAGAATTTTGTGGAAAAATCCACAGTAAGTGCCTCATAAAGTGCAGGGGGCTTAATATCAACTATATCCCACACCTTGTGGGCCCATTTCTGCAGATCAGATACATCACCGAGGAATTTATCATTAATAAAACACATCACATTGGAAGAATATTCCCATGTTTCATCCCTGAGTTCCTATAGGAAAAGACAAAAAAAAAATGTAATGAAGGAAAGAAAACAAACAAACAACTTCTATCCATAAGCCAGAGTTTGGAATCAACTCTAGGATTGAATATTTTAAAAATATGCTTTTACCACCTTTCAAAAGTCTTCTGTGAAAGAGAATTTAAGAACATTTTAAGTAACCAAACATCATGAAAGCACAGAATGATTTAAAAAACTAATCTTAAAAATGTTGTAATCATAGAAGATAGATGGTAATTCTGGTAATAAAAGTCATTATATGCTGAGCATACTTATTAACTCAGAAACAAAGTGCAACTCTGGCCAAGCACCGTGACATACACCTATAATCACAGCAATTTGGGGTGCTGAGGCAGGAGGATCACAAGTTTGAGAGTGATCTTTGCATTATAGTGAGACCTTCTCTCAAAATGAAGTAAAGGGATAGGGATGTGAGTAGCTCAGTGGTAGAATGTCCCTGGGTTAAATACCAGAGGGTAAGAAGAAAAGAGCAGTCTCTTCATTTACCAAACACATTTTACTGTGTGCATGCTTGGGAAGGTTAAGGATTCTGGGTAAGGGATGATTTTCTTTCTTTTCTTTTCTTTTTTTAGCACTAGGGATTGAACCCAGGGATGCTTTAACCACTGTTTAATTTTACCACTGTTCCCAGCACTGTTTAATTTTTTTATTTTGAGACAGGGTCTTGCTAAGTTGTTTAGGGCCTCACTAAGTTGCTAAAGATAGCTTTGAACTTGTAATCTTGCCTCCCGAGCTGCTGGAATTATAGGCTGGAATTACACGATGTCCAGCTAAGGGATGATTTTTCAATGCAAAGTATTAAGAGAATTTTTTTTTTGTATGGGGGCAAAAATGGAGGGGCTCACCTTTAGGAAAATGCCTCCTAGGAGGCCAGCAGGGATTTCCAAAACCCAGTCAGGCAATGAAGAAGCCCCTCAAAATGAAATGTGTCAGTGTCTTCATCCACAAAATGCTGCTGGTCAACCTCTTGAATCCTTAGTGCATGGCTACTGAGTTACATCCCCTCTGAAATCTGCCGATTACCAAGTGCCAGCTCTGGAAAACCATGAATATCTTTGTACAGCCATTCTCAAACTGTAGTGGGCTTTGGAATCATAGATTCCTAAGGCCCATCTGACTTTCTGATTGTGGGATGGGGCCTTAGAATTTGGGTTTCTAAACATCCAAGGAGATGCTGATGCTGCTGGTCTGGAGACTGAACTTAGAAAAATAAGTTTGAGAGAACAGTTTGCCTCCAACTTGCCAACTTAGCCATTCCCAGCTTCTCTTACAAGATTTAATATCCTGCTGCTTGTTTCCCATGATCCTCTCAAAACCTGCTTCCTGGCAGAGAAAAACTTCTTCATGTTCTACCATAAATCATTGATAGAAACTATGTGTCAATAGTTCCTGGAATGTGCAATTTATCAGTATTATATTTTGCTAGACCTAAAACCCAAAAAGGGAGAAAAAAATCTAATCATGAACATTTTAGTTAGCCTTATGGGAGAAATGCAGTAGATGGTACATTTTATTTAGAGGCTAAAGATGAAAATGCCTTATCTCTGTCTCTTCTGTACATAAGGAGACTCCTTGCTTGCCTCTAGGTAGCAGACTGGACCTGGTAGTTTCTAGGACTTTTCATCCAGGACCTATGATGCAGCCTTTTTTAGAGGGGAGAGAGAGGCCCTTCCAAAGACCTGAAGCCATCCCTTGAGAGGGGCATTAAATTCTGCTGAAGCATAAGGCCAGCTGGCCTAATGAACTAAGACCACATGCACTAAGAAGCACTTCATATAACATAAGACACAAAGCTCTCATTAAAGAAGGACCAAAAGACTGACTTGAAAAGGAAGAAAAGGTTAAGGTGACAGATATCCAGAGGATGAGTGTGGCAGAGGAAAGAAAGTACAGATAAGGAATAAAGTACAGGTGGCAAGAAGCAGCCGGGATTAACTAGGAAGCCTCAACGAGAAAGACAGCAGGAGAGCACAAATCACCTCCAGGCAGACCAGATTGGAGAGGGAGGAGGCTGGCGAGTAAAATTTAC